AAAAAATTATGAAAAAAAAAAAACTATTGAGTGATCAAGTTGTAGAGGTACCAAGTTCTTGGGCCAAATACGGAATATTCCAGCTCTTTTAGTGACATCAGATACATGTATTGCTTTTTTAAAGTACTAATTTTGATGGTTTCTTGTTGATCCAAATTGTTTATTAACTTTTCTTTGGTTGTTTTAACCACTTAAGAAGAAAATACGGAAATTAAAATTTCCCTATCAATTAAATTTTCTATGTATACTTGATTTTAATCAAGATTTTTGAAAGATTCAAGTGTTACTCTTGATAGGAATTACACAAATCCCCCAACCTAGATCTTTTCCAGCTTCTGTAGCCTGGATGTTTCCAAATTTTCAAAAACATTGAAGAGGAAAGACTACAGGATTTTAAAAAGCTTCTTGAGCCTGGATGTTGCCTAATTTCTAAATTCTTATCAATGATTGCTAACTGTTCCCTCTTTGTTAACCTTTAACTCCTATGACTGACCAAGACACGACTTCTTCTTACAATATCAGTCTTGGGTTTCATGTACTGATTAAACTCTTGGGTGGGTTGCATTGATTGGTTTTCACTTTGCCTTTTCTAGAATTACATTTGACTGTATTATTATTGTTTTATGTTTTACGATAGGCTGTTAGACTGTTTCTCCATTATTTCATTGCAATTGCTATATTTTCAAACAGAGAAAGTTCTAGCTAAAGGTAATGAATGTTTTGCAAATTAATGTTAGAGGTTTCCATAAAAATTCTTGTGTTGTTACAAAGCCATTGTTTGATTTCTAAAATCCCAAAACCTTGCTTAAAAGAGAGTGAACAGTTAATTGGGTTAATTTAAATCAGCCGGCAAATACATTTCTTGTTCTCTTAATTCATGGAGAAACCTCTAAATATTTTCATTGTATGCAATTGATCAGTCATGGAAAGGAATGGTAGAAATGTAAGATAGTATGGTTATAAGAAGATATTTTACAAAAACCAGTCCGGTAAATATGGTTTGGCATGCCAGTTTATTCCTTTCAATTGGTAATTTCCTGAGACAGTTTTCACTCAAAATGTGAGATTTTTCCTGCCATTTTCAGGATAATAATGGAGAATTAGATCCAATTACTTTCAATTATTTTAGCTTTTTCTTGTACTTGACTCAAAATATAGTATATTCTCCTGTTGCTAATAGAATGAAAGCTATTTTTCCTTTGGTTAGGCACCTAATTTTATGGAGGAGAATTTGAGCTTTGTATTAGCGATCACTTACTAGGTGTTCAATGTTACATGTAGATAAGTTGCTTAGTATGGCTAGAATCATATACCTATTTGAATATCTTGATGGCAGAGTGTGAATAACATACCTAAGAAAATGGGAAAAAACTTTTTAACAAAATTTTTAAAGTTGTCAAATATTGAACAGTTTAATTCTTATCAATATTACTTAATAATTGAATACTCATTTACTTGGTTATTTTTATAAGTATGATTAAAATTTATTCTAAAATATTGCATTTGTTTTTGATGATTTCTTTAGTTTTTCTTACTAAAGAGTATTTTTGTATTTAGTAAAGTTTTGCACTGCAGTTTTCTTGATGTTTTATTGCATCTACAGAAGTTCAGTAGTTTTAATTAGGAGAATTCTTGGGTCATATTTTTATTAGGTGTAACTGCAGTGCTTTAAAACTGTAAAGTAATTTAGATTGGTTAACAGATAATTTTATTTGGATTTGGGTTTAAACTCACATATTTCCAATTTTTATGCAACATTTTGTAGCTTGTCAACAGATTCTAAACACAACATGGATTCTAGATTCAATGCATTTAAGTAGGGTAGATTGTGCATAAAAGCTAACTCGGTTTATGGTTATAAATTTAAAGGACTGGTGAATAATTTCTTTGATTTTATTCAATGTAACAATGCTTAAAAACTCTAGACTATAATGTAGAGTGGGTGAATAGGTTTACAGATGTTTGGATGTGGGTTTTAAAACTTACACATTGCCAATTTTTTGCAACATTTTGAAAGTTGTGAACAAGCAAATTTGAAGTTTTTACACAGGACACAGATTTTAGATTCAATGTGTTTCATAGTGTAGATTGTAGACTGGGATTTAATTCACTTTGTGGTAAATTTAAATATTTGTCAATTATTTCTTTCACTTTATTTAGTTTAAGAATACTTAATAACTAATTAGACTATAACGTAGAGGGGGTGAATAGGTTTGAAGATATTTGAGTTTGGGTTTGAAAATTCACATGCTGAAGATTTTTCCAGAATGCTGTGTTGATGGTCATTCCAACAGATTTTAAAGATAACAGTTTATCACAGATCACCTGTTTGTTAGCAATGAATTCCAGATTCGTTTCTTTTTAGTGTGGATTGTAAATGACACAGATTTAGTCTCCAGTTTACACTAGTCTGTTCATTGATATAATTTTGTTGACTCAGTTTTTTCCAGTTTGCAGAAAACAACATTTCCAACTTAAAGATGTTACTAGCAAAGCAGTTCAGTTTGTAATTAGCCAGAAGCCTACTTTCACAAGTACCGACATGGACAGAAAACTTTGGTATAAATCTTAATACAGTAGGAGAAGGAAAAAGAGACATACTCAAATTGTACACTGCTGGAAATTTCACAGCTCTGACATTTGTTTTTATTAGAAAATTAGATGAACAGGTTTG